TTACGTAAAAATTTTTCCAAGTTGCTCTCTCTCTCTCTCTCTCTCTCTCTCTCTCTCTTTCTTAATTGACTTATTTAAAAAATTAATGAAAATCTTTTAGATGAATCAGGTTAATGTGAAAAATAACTCGAGGGTTGGGCATGGTTTTTTTTTTTTAATAAGAAAACATGTCCTAACGTTTAACAAATATTTCGAAATAATATCTTACATGATTTGATAAATAAATTTTTAAACTGAATTTTTTTTTTTAAATGTAGCAATTGATTAGTACTCTGTGATAATAATAATAATAATAATGTAGTAACAAACACGATATTATATACATGTGGTGATAATAAATAATAAAACGAAATCGGAAAATTATTATCGTTTTCTTCTACTTTTTTTTTAAAAACGAAAGAGGCTAAGCAACAAATAACTTTCCAGTTGAATATAATTGAATACAATTTATTATTTTAAATCGACCTTTGATTTTTATTATTATTATTATTATTTAGTATTTCTCAAAGGAAAGTGATATTTGAAAAATTCTGACAAACAAAAAGAAGAATTTCGTCGCGTAATAACACACAAAAAAAAACAAATTAATAAAAAAAAGGGAACATTGTACGCATTTTTTTTTTTTTTTACTTTAAAGACCAAGACCTTGTTCTGCTTGGCAAACCGTTACCAGAATCTAAAATTTTTCTTTTTCTTTTTTTTTATTAAATTTATTACATTCCAATAATAATAATCATCATTATCATCATCATCATCATCATCATCACATTGATTATTGTATAAAAAAACAAAAGAAAAACCTGGAAAATTTTCGTTATTGTTTAAATGACGTGACGACTTAAACGTAACGATTTTTTTTTCTTAACCTAAATTTCAATCAATAATAATAATAATAATAATAATAATAATAATAATAATATTAATATTAATATTAATAATAAATTTTATAATAAGAAATTCGAGTATTTGTCCCTAAGGAATCGGGTAGAAACCTGGGATAAATGCTTAAAAACCCCGACAAATAAGAGCCTTGTCGCGTTTAAGAGTGACAATAACAATAATAATAATAATAACAAATAAAAAAAATAGAAAAAGAACGATAAAACAAAAAAAGAAAAAAAAGAAAGAAAGAAAAACAAAAAAAAGGGGGGAAGAAGAAAGAAAAAGTGTGTCCGATGACGTAAAGAAGAAGAAGAGGAGGAAAAACTTTAAATCGTAGGCCTAACATTAAAACGGAAACGGATGTTGTTAGAGACCTTTAAATAATTATTATGAATAATTATAAAATTAATAGTTTGATGTTCAAAAAAAAAAAAAAAATATTTCGAATGTTTTTAAATTACACGTCGGATCCCTCCTCCACCCGCCGGTAATTATTTAAAGGGTATATATTTTAAAGGGATGATTCGACCCCGTCGATTGTTAATTAATTTCTACCTGTAAAAGGAACATTTAACAAAAAAAAAAAATGTTATCAACGAATTTTCGATATCAATTCGTTTAAAAATACTTTTAATTAATTTTTTAAAAAAAAAGGGGTTGTAAAAAAAATTAATTAATTTTTTCTATTTGGAAATTTTCAGCCTTTCTAAATAAAAAATTAATTATTTGTCAAGGTAAATGCCCCGACGGAAGGAAAACTTATGAACGGAAATGACATTGATAAAAGCCGTGAAATTTTTTTTTCTTTTTTTCTTGAAACTTTTCATTTATTATTATTATTATTATTATTAATATTTGTTTTTAATAACCGGGGGTGCAACTTTTGAATATTAAACACCGGTAATTATTTCTGCCAAATATAACCAAAAAAAAAAAAAAATTAAATAAAAAAAAAAAAAAAACGGATGCCATCAACGTTTCGTAACCAGAAAAAAAAACATTTTCTCTGTTGGATTTCGTTTTTTTTAAAAATAATAATAATAATAAAAATAATAATAATAATAATAATAATAATAATAATAATAATATTTTCAAGAACTAAGGTCAAGTTAAACACGATTTCGTTGTTGTAGAAAAACAATAAAAACGTGAAAATTTAATTTGTTTTAAATAATAAACTTAATTGAAGTCGCAAAAAAATTTTAAAACCGTTAATCCTCATCATTTCCTTCGATTTCCTTACGAGAAAATTTTTTAAATGCCCAATGACGTCACTGACTACGAGAGCACGTTCAGAAAATATCCGAACAAAAATAAACAAACAAACGAGAACGATGAAAACAAGTTTTTTTTCTTTTTCTTTCTTTTTTTTTTGCGATTTCTTTATAAAATCTTTTTTTTTTCAAATAAATTTTTTTGTTTTTGTTTTTATCCAAAAGGAAAACAAATTTGAATGATGACGTAATAAATTTTTTAAAAACAATGATTAGATTTTTAAGAAAAACGAAAAACTCGCAGATAACAAACGCATGAGAAAATTTATCATCTAAAAAGAAAGTCACAACAAAACAATGACATAAAATGAAAAATAGTTTAAATAATAATAATAAAATAATAATAATAATAATAATAATAATAATAATAATAATCTATCTAACGATGCTAATAATAATAATAATAATCTTACTAACATGTTAGGTAATTAAAAAAAAAAAAATTTTTTTTTTTTTTTTTTTAAAGATAATGTTCACTATTCGTTAAAGTCGTAATTTTATGTTATTATTATTATTTTTTTTTTTTTTCGTTCGACCTTAATAAATGATGAACTTTACAACTCTTTGAAAATTTTTTTTTTTTTGAGGGCGGATATAATAATTTAAAAACGAAACGAAATTATTATTATTATTATTTAAATTTTTTTTTTTTTGTTTTTAATCTTTTCGTACGTAATAAAAACATTTTATCGTTTCCTGTTTATAAATTGGATTTGAATTTTAATATCCGGTTTGCGTTTTTCATTCTGTTGTCTATGACTAAAAGGGAAATGGGGAAAATTATTTTGAAAATTGTATAGTGATGTGCAATTTTTTAAAATCGTCAAAATTTTCCACAAAAAAAAAAGTAACCATATTATTTCTTATACTTGACGACTTTCACTTTCCCCCCTCCCTCCCCTAAAAAAAAATTAATTTACATTGTCACGCGCTAATAGTTTATTAAATTTTTTTATGCATTTATTAACATTTTTTATTTTATTTTAAATCAATTGGACAAATTTAAATGCGATGTCGTTAAAAAAAAAAAAAAAATTAATTGCTTTTAAAGAGAGAGAGAGAAAGAGAGAGAGAGAGAGTGAGAGAGAATGAAAGGGAAAGAAAAAAAGAAAGAGAGAGAGAGAGAAAGAAAGAAAGAAAGAGAGAGAAAAAGAAAGAGAGAGAGAGAGAGAGAGATTTTTGTAAATGAAAATATCTCCCTTAACCAAAAAAAATTTTCCTTCTATCCCCTACCCCCCCAACCTTTCTTTACTTTACCGCAATTAAAAAAAAAAAAGAAAAATATTTTTAGGTTGAAATCTTTATTAACTAATAATAATATTCACGGTGAGTTATGCGAATAAATGAACCGTGAATAAAAAATTTTTATTTATTTCCTATATTTAAGTTTTTTTGTTTTTTTTTTCGAAATTTTTCTAGAATAAATAATAATTTTTTTTTTTAAAATGTGGAAAAATACTAAATATAAATTTACACTCTTTCAAACTCATTAAACAAAACAAACAACCTTATTATTAAATTGTCATTTATTTTAATACAAAATGAAAATCATTCTAAAAATTTTTTACTAGTCGATCGCCTTGATTTAAATGCAATTATTATTATTATTATTATAAAACAACTTTTCCCGAATGCATTCGTAATTTATTTGTTTAAGGTTTTATTATTATTATTATTATTTTTTTTTTTTGATTATAAAAAATAGTTTTTGTTTATTAAAAATCAATTAGGGCACAAGTACACTTGCAGTCACTCAAACACACACTTTTCTCACAAAATACCAAACGTGTCATTAGAATTATTTGTTAAAATTAAAGTAAATTTGATAATTATTAAACAATTCATCTTAACAAAAAAAAAATAAAAATATTAATAATAGTAATAATCGATTTGATCGGGTATGAGAAAAAAAAA